CTCCCTCCCCCTCACGGTTCCATTTACTCCTCCCTACAGTTACTCGCACAACCCACTTCGCATTTCAGTCGATTGGAGGAGAAGGCGACGGCGGAGGCGGAAGAGTCGACGGCATTCGCGGCCGTCGGTGGTGCTCGCCGGACCGGAGTGTCTTCGCTGGAGCGCCTACAGATTGAAGGTAATGCTCCCTCCCACTCTCAAAATCCTTGCCTGCATTTTCTCACCTGCCCTCTGTGTTCGATACTTCGCTTGAGATTCATCGAGATTCAGGCGGGTTCGCGATGCGCCGGCGTTCCCTCCGACGGCGGAGTCCTGTGCTTGCCGTTCTCGATGGCATTGGGCAGTTTCGTTGCCGCCGCAGTGGCGGTCACGGTGTGGTTCGGCCTGTCCGGAGCCACATACTGGATGTGCCTTGGGATTGGGCGTCGTTTTTTCTGTCTGATAGTTGCGCATTGCTTCGAATTGCTATTTGCGATCAGTGTGGGGAGAATTTTGGCGATGAATTTCAAGTCATGATAGTTGTCATTGAACCCTAGATCTAGGTAGTTGTTTTTCAAAGTGCAGTATGAAGGCAAACATGGTAGTTTGAGTGACTATCATGACTGTATGGCAACTAATTTCCTGATTGACTGTGATAGTTGTCACAAATATGCTTTCCATGTGACAACTAATTTCGCGCACAGGCCGTGGTTGTTGCCACACTGTAGGCACGGTAAAGTGTAGTAAATAGGTAGTCATTGCAGTTTCAGCAACCATTTGCACTGGATGGCAACTAATCTGCACATCAATTGTGTCAGTTGCCACATATATGCTTCCCATGTAGCAAGTATTTATGTGAACACACTATGGCTGTTGCCATGTTGTAGGCAGGATAATGTGGCAAATTCACAGTACTATAGACCCAAATTTTTGTGCTTTTCCACGCTGATTTGTGGCAACTAACAGGATAATGTGGTATGGCAAAGTATAGTAATTAGGTAGTCTTATCAGTTTCAGCAACTATGTGCACTGGATGGCAACTAATTTGCACATCAATTGTGTCAGATGCCATATATATGTTTTCCGTGCGGCAAGTATTTGTCTGAACACAACATGTCTGTTGCCATGTTATAGGCAGGATAATGTGGCAAATTCATTGTACGGCAGACCCAGTTTCGTGTTTTGCCACGCTGACTTGTGATATCTGAACATATTTGTCTGTACTAAATGGCAACTCATTTTTGATATGAGGTCAGTGTGTGCGTTGCAATTTCAGGTTGTTCAATAGATGTTTTTCATCGCTTTTTTGAATTCTATGTTGCATTTTAACATGGCAATTTCAACCTAGCACATTTTGCCATTGAACACATGGCAAGTCATTTTTGTATGAGGACAGGGTGTAAGCTGCCATATTTTATGTTTGTGCAGTGGAAGATTTGTGGATTTCTTTCGTAATATTTTGTGCTAACATGGCAACTTCAACATTTTGTTTTTAAGTGCATTACGATCTGTACATTTTTTTCAAATGAAACCAATGTGCTTAATGGCCACATTTATGTTTTCGACAATCATAGGGGGTGCGTGTGTGTTCATGTGATATTTGCATTCACTAGTTGCCATTTCAATCGAGCCCAAGCGACAAGCACATTCTGTTAGGTGGCGACTGCTTACTTCCTACATTTCATTTCCACCCTGACAATTTGGTATGTTCTTACCTCAGCAGAATGGCTCGCGGCGATCATCAAAACGATGATGATGATTTAATGGATCCACCACAGCGGAATCGGGAAACTGGACAGAGAAAAGACGGCGACAAGGTAACTGTCCACACCCCTCCTCCTCCTACATATGTTCTTGGTTGCCACCTCGAGCTTGCAGTCGTCTGTTATGAACTAAAATTTCATGACAGTGAAAACATGGCAACAAATGATCATTTGTCTGTTTTGCAGAAGAAGAGACGTACTCGCAACAGGGCCTCGCAGGAACGACTGACTTCATTGACTGACAGATTTACCAATGATCAGAAGGGAGCTGCTGCTGAGATGGGTATGCAGGCTCTGATGGATGTCCGGTGCAAGAATCTAGTCAACCCTGTATGCGACTGGCATGGTGAGATTTACGACCCCGCCTCCAGGGAATTTGTGATTCCAGGACGTGGAAGACTGCCGTTAAACGAGGAATCCGTGTTCTGCACTCTGGGTGTGCACCGTGGAGAAATCAAAGTCCCGTATGAGGTCAATAATAAGATCGAGGAAACGTTGTTCCCTCGTTTGTTTCCTGGGTTGGAATCCATGCCGAACACGTCTTCCCTGGCAGATTCGCTGCAGTCCATGACAACCCATGGCAAGGTTTTTAAGATGAAACTACTCATGTACCTCATCTCAGCTGTTTTCACGCCGACCACTTCTCTTCGCCCAAGCAACAAATGCTTCCCCATCCTGGTGAATGATCTATCTTTACTCCATTATTTTCCTTCAATCTTTTGGCTCCGATGTCATGTGCAAGCTAGTCACTGCCAGTTTTTTTGATGTTTTTCCATTTGATTTCTGATGCGGCAATTCATTGTCCTGAAAATTGTGCGGTGCAGGCGAAACTGAAAGATGTGAAGAACATGAATTGGTGTAAGTTCATTGCCGACTTCCTACATGATGCATTCTCAAGCAAGATGTACCAGAAAGGTTGTCGACTGCATTTAATGGTATTTTTTTACCAGTCCTTTCTGTGAACACTCTTTAACACCTTTATTCATGCATGGCAACCTGATCATAACAAGATGGCAACTGCCATCATGACAATATGGCAACTGCCATCATGACAATATGGCAACTGCCATCATACTATGATGGCAACTAGAACAGACAGATGGCAACTAGCACAAACAGATGGCAACTTCTTTTTTTTCATGCACTTCAACTTGATGATTGTAGGAACATACATTAGGCTGTTTTTGCAAAATACCATGATGGCAACTGATATTTCTTTCTTTTAAAATTGTTGTGCATCAGCTCATGTACGTCGACTGTCTTGATCTGTCCATCGTGGATTTCACTGGGACAGGAGGCCCGCCGCCTACACACAAGTTTGCTGTTTCTGTGTGGACTTACAATGCTGTCAAGGCTGTGCTTGCTGCAGACAGGGTAACTGATACCAAATATGGAAAACTGCAGGTTAGTTCTGGTTTCTTTCTCTACACGACATTCTTACAAATTTTTGCGGCATAACATATGAAAAAATCCTCATATGGCAACCGTCTGTGGCTAACAAGAGATGACTACCTTGTAAGCCATGGCTGTTTGCGTATGGTATCCATGTCTAACTCCACATGGCAACTCTGTCATCCGTGGTGAAACTTATATTCTCGTCTTCTTTTTTTTGTTGTATTTGCAATACATGAACTGTTAGTCAGTGTTCATCATTCTCGCTCTTACATCCTAGCTATTTTTTGGTTATTTCCAGCTGATGGCCAAGCATGCTATAGACTACAGCGTGTTTGGGGGGCCTCAAAACTTTGGAAAGTGGATGGATGTGCACTCAGCTCTGTGTTGCCCTACTGAGGTAATCAAAGATATATATCCACTGTTGCCTTGGATTATTTTTTATCGCGTGGCAAGTGACTCTAATATGGTTGGTTACTGCTGTTTCTTGTTTCATGCACACGCGAGGGCACCTGTTGAGCATCTAATTGGGCAGTTTGCATCCGGAATGACCAGCTTGCTTGGGAAGTTGGTTGAGGGTTGGACGTCCCTTAATGGCTCTGACAGCGACGCGGTTGCGAGGCAGTTCACTACATTTGTCACAGAACGGACACATCGGCCAACTGGTTGCCGTGGCCGGTACGACTACAACAGTTCCCAAGAGCTTTCTGACACACAAGATGAACTAGATGGAGACGCTGGTCTCAACAAGGATGATGACGGTGACATGGAGAACGTGCAACACGACACCGATGATGATGAACATGTTGAAGTTCGTGCAGGTGGTAAGAAGGGCAAGGATGCACCAGATGTTCCCCCACCGGAGAAAGTCAAAGAACATACGACTGCGAGAGGCGAGGGGGTGTTTCCCTCAAAGAGGGTGACGGCCCCAG